AGAATCAATGCACCTGCAAATATGAGGCACATTGGGAGGATGACTTTTTAAAATAAGTTTGTTTTGATTTTAGTTTTTTAATTATAACATAATTTATGAATAACTAATCAATATTTTATTAATTTAATTTATTTTCAAGTTCATAAACATTGACATCGCCTGAGTAATATCATCGGCTTTTAAATCATCGATGAAGATTTCATTATTTTAATGGAGTCAGGTTTCCAGACATCCTGAATGGAGACCTTATATCGATACATGGTTTGACAAATTTGAGGTTAATGTAAATTTCTAATTTCCAACTTATTTTTAATAAATTATTATTATTATTATAGATAAATTATTATTTTTGTTTTAAATAAATTGTTTATACATAGGACAAATTCGACTGGGATAACGCGCTTGACAATGTTGTGAGGAGGGTATAGAAAAATGACTTGGCAACTAGGTATGACACCGAAAACAATACGATATTTTTTTTAAAACAAATTATGTTTTAAAATCTAATTTATCACCATGGAAGTAGGTTGCGTGATTTTTGGTATTAAACACAAAAAAAGAAAAATAAAACATGAAAGATTATGGTCTTCAAGGCTGGAACGATGTGGCGGTTTGGATGGATTTCAAACCACTATACATCCTGAGAGATATATGGCCACAATATATTGAGCACGTGACGTTTGAGTGGTTCACACGATGCTTATAGTCTGATGCTAGCAACCTAAACCGATATATTTATGGTTCAGTGACAACATACACAGACGGTTTTGTTCTATTTGCTACACATGCGAAACAGATGATAAGATTAATTTAAATGAAATATATCATTATTTCAATTTGTTGTTACTTAATTAATTTTTTTTTCATACCGGCTACGTCTTTTGGGTGTGATCTGAGCCTAATGTAGCTATTTGTAGAGATGCATGTGCAACGTAAAGACCGCTAAAAAGGGACGTCATAGTTCGTTGACAAGCACGCTCAACACTTTGTGGCCTGTTTGTTCAACCATTTTATTTCATAAGTTATTATTTTTCTCGAATTGGATATGATGATTTCTTCTATCATTTTCAGGAGATCTATAATAATCGGTTAATGGAGAGATATAGGGACGATCGTTCGACCCATTAGAATTTCGATTCTGGATTTGTGGATGGATATAGGATCGTCCGATATAACCGATAAAAATAGGATGTATGGGCTCTCCAACACTACGGCCAAGGACTTGCGAGTGGCTCGTAGTGTCTCAACTATTAGGAGTTCTTAATTAGTATTGAGCACTCAATTTAAAGAGTTCGTGACCTTGCAGCAACATACAACTCTTCTCATGAAAAAATACAAGCAATTATCGGTGAATTATGAACAACACATGACTTATCTCACCAAAAAATACAAGCAACTCTCGGCGAATTATGAACAACTTCTCCAAATGATCATGAACATGACATCATAGAGTGATGATATATGTGCGGCCCCCTGTTGAATGCATGGTCTTAGGAATAACCAGCCTTCTCCTCCTCCTCCAGCTCCACCATTCTTCTAATTTAATATTTTTTTTTGTAAACACATTTAATTTATAATGACTATTATTTAGCATTATTTTTTATTTTTGATGTTTAATAAAATTTTATTTGGATAATTGGTTTTCTTACTATTAATTTATATTATTTTATATTATTTAATCTAAATATATTTTTTTATTTTTTTGAAAAAAAGCTTTACCGACGGATTTACAGACATAGTGTATCCGTCGACATTTTACAAAAAGCTGAAAAATATTTATTAGAAATGCCACAATCATCGATGGTTACATAGATGGATATAATCTATTGGTATTTTATAGAGAGTTGAAAAATATTTACTAGAAATGTCATTATCATCAATGGAATAAATCCGTCGGTATATTTCTAATAGGAACTTTTTTTGCACGCATTTTCTATTTGTGAAACCATCGATACTATTTTTTTTCCTGGTAGAGTTAGCGATGAAATGTGGTATTGTTGATGAAAAAAATGTCGACGGAATTTAGTCAGTAAAAAAATACCAATAAAGTCTAAATTTTATACTAACGGACTATGTTCGTTAATAAAATTAGGAAATCTTGTAGTAGATCTAATTATACCTCACCAGAGTTGGAATTCAAATATTTTTGAGTATTTTGATTGTATATGGATACGTCAAATCTTAAAAAACAGAAGACGCTAAGGATGTGAATTGACTCTCAAACCTAACCATAGATTGCACAAATGAATTCTCCCACTACATGGAAAATCTGATAGCAATCTATATTTGTCTGAAAATCTTAAGTTTTTCATTTTATATTCTAATCCAAGAAAGGGGTATAGAGTATTAAATTCCCAAGCTGAATCTGTTGGGCAGGCATATCAGGGAAAAATCGAAGCCTCACTTGTAGCTGGCGATGAACTGAAATTGGTAAATATACAGTACCATACACTTATCTCAATCTGCAATTTTTTTCCCGGTGAGTTGCAGCTCGTGTTAAAGCAGACATAAATAACTCAATCCTCGTCTTTAACTTTGCACCAATTTCTTCTGCCCCATCATTAGGAAGGGCTTGTCTCTTTGCTTCGGAAGGACCTAGTTGCTACCTGATCTATATATATATATTATTTGTGAATGCCTCTTGAGGGTGGTTATAATTGCATTTACAAGAATGGAGCACCTACACAGAGATAGCCTTTTCCACCACTATCATTGCAGGCTGACTGCCAAATATCTTTCTAGCCTCCATCTTGCACTTGCCTTTCATTTTCATGCCAAAGTTTGTGTTCCACGCGTCGAGATGGTGTTAATGCCGACACACACACAAAAAAAATAAAAAAAGAAAAGCATTTATAGCGTTAGAAATTTTTCTAATTTGATCAACACTTTTTCCCCGTCTAATGTGTATTCCACGTGTAACACTCTTTTTAATCGTGGAAAGTTCCATGGATACTTTGGAGTAATGGGTTCACAGGGTATTTTTCCAAGGTCTGTTTTGCTGAACGATCATGTACCGATTTTGACTCGTCTTACCGTCGACACATTAGTTTGATTATTAATTGTGTTTTGTGTTGCTGTGGCGTGCGGTTTTTATTTAAAAATAAAATTATTATTGAAAAAACATTAAAAATAAAATTAATTTGATGATTTTAAGGGAACATGCTTTTCAAACACACATATCTTATTAAAAACAAAATTAATTTGATGATTTTAAGGTAAACATGCTTTTAAAACACACATATCTTATTTGGGACCCTTTTTCATCAAAAATTATTTTTTAATATATTTTGAAATAAAAAATACTTTGAAACAATATTTTTTATAATGTTGTCTCTAAAAAGTTTTGAATTTTAAATTTTGAGCACAACATTCAAATAACATTTAATAATTTTTTAAAATACATGAATGCAATACAAGAATATATTTTTAAAATGGTTAAAAAAAAGACTTGATAGAGACTGCTAAATAAACTAATTTGACAATATATTTTATCATTAAAAAATAAGAGTTTGAAACATAAAATTCAACATGACATGATAAAGAAAGTAGAGGTTTTTAATTAAAAAGAAATCTCAAACTGCATTTTTCTATTATTGAAATTAATATTTTATCCAGCCTCTTGAAATTAACCAAACATTAACCTCAAGAAAGAAGAATGAAGAATTGAAAATGACATTGTAGCTCTTAATATGATTAGTTACCTTAATATTAGCTCTTAATATTATTACATGTCTTGTGCTTTAGCCTTGTAGAAGAAAGCAGTCCATTTTGTCTTCCTTGTCATTATCGTTGCAAGCTATCCTATAATGATGTGACTACACATGTTAACATGCATGCTGTCTTAGATTTGTCAACATGTGTCACCTTATTAGCTTAGATACGCACCACGCCCCATACCATGCATGTATCCAGAAAAAACAGTGGTTGATTTCACTTTAAAATATATTAATACATCTTGTATATTACTGATTTAGAATTTTTTTTTAAATATTATTTTTAACATCAGTATATTAAAATAATTAAAAAAAAATCATGATTTCAGTTGCAAAAATTAACAAACATCTTAAGCTTTTTTAGAAAATTTCATTAAATTTAGATACTGTTTTTAAATCTAGAAAATCAAAAATGAAAAGAATTTTTTTTTAATTATCAGACCAATCTCTCAGAATCAAGATAAAGGTAAATTAGTTCACATAAATAGTCATAACCCATCAAAATTTAAAACCCAGCACTGATTTTTAAGGAGTTTGTTGACCGAGCCGTCAATTTCATGCATTAAATTTAGATATTGTTTTTAAACCTATAAAATCGAAAAAGAAAATAAACATTTTTAATTACCAGACCAATCTCTCAAAATCAAGGTAAATTAGTTCACATAAATAATCATAACCCATCAAAATTTAAAACCCAGCACTGATTTTTTAAGGAGTTTGTTGACCGAGCCGAAGCTGTAAAGAACGCTGCTGGTAATTAAAAGGGGCATTTCAATCGGAGCCGAAGCTGTAAAGAACGCCGCTGGTAATTAAAAGGGGTATTTCAATCCACAATTTTGAGATGATATTTAATTTTAAAAAAAAAGAAAAAAGAAAAATAAAATTTCAGAGATTCATTCACTTAATTATCGTCATTAACATCGAGCACTATTTTAGTTTTTGGGTAACACCACCCGTATTAGAAATTGAAGAAATTTTGGAGCTGAGGCGCTTTCTTCCCATGAAAATATTGGCAAGCTCAGAGGTGTAAACAAACACAAAACACACCCATCAAAGCAAATGCCGAAGGAATTACTAGTTGTTTCAGGGAAGATAATATTGAAAACTGATAAAAATAATAACAATAAAAACAGAATGTTCCCTCTCTCTTTCTGATCTGAGGATGTGTGGTGCAATCCTCTCTTGGGAGACAACCTGCTGCGAGGCCTAATCCCTGACTTTTGTCTTTGGCTTTTCCTTTCCTCTTCACTATCATTCCATGTCCATAAGTTTCTTGAGTTAACGCAGAGGGTAATTTCTTGACTTTCTACACCCTTTCTTTTCACTATATATTGCCTTGTGTGCTCTTCATGTCCAAAGTTACCGAAGCCCCAATTTACTTTCTGTGCTATATATACTACTACAGTCCCTCTGCTAGCCAAAGTGCCAAATCACACTGTTCTTTCTCTTGCTTCTTTCACCATGGCAGACCCTTGCTCTAATCTCTTCAGTACTGGATCTTTCAACTTCGTGCTTCTTAATCCTCACTACAGTACTGCTTTCACTTCTTACTCGAATCCTTCCAGCCTTCATGCTTTCTCAAACAACTACCCGCTCGACAACAAATCTTCAATTCCTCCCTCATCGCCTCCTCCAAAAGAAGCCCTTCCCCTGATAGAATACTTAAGTCCCGCAAGACAACAAGAAGAGCATCGTGATTCCTCATGTAGTTCCATGGAAGATGATGATAACCTCTTTTTTAGTACTGCAGATGGTAATGTTGAGACCGTGACTGTAGCTCTGCACATAGGCCTCCCTAACCCTAGTTCTGATCTGGAGAGGGCGCTTAGGGTTTTCCCATCTCCAAATGCACCAGATAAGGAAGAGATGAGTGCAGTTTCAGGATACCCTTTGGAGAAACTATACAAGGGTCAGTATTGGATTCCTACACCTTCCCAGATTCTTATCGGTCCGAGTCAATTTTCATGTCCACTTTGCTCCAAGACCTTTAACAGATACAACAACTTGCAGGTATGCCCCGCTTTCTTGAAAGACGTCTCCTTAAGCTCTTCCTTTCTCTCTTTTCCTTTTTTCTTGCTCCATTTCAGCTGGATCTAGGTACTTTATTTTTAATAATTTGCTATTATTAGTTAACTTGTACGAGTAGTACAGTGCTAGCCTAGACTGCAGAAGGTCTCTGTCTTTAATTTTATGTTTGATTTTCATTTTGCATACACTATACATGTATATATATCTTGAGATCTGCAGTGAGTAATTATTGATTGTCTCTTTTTTTTCAAGTTCCAACTGAGATGTTTTGCGTGATTTGACCTTTCATGAGACGTCTTGTACTTTTGTTACTTTGAAGATCATGCTAAGGTCAGTTGCTGAGGTGGGTTAAAGAAAAACTGCAAATAAATAGAGCGCTTGAGAGTTCTGAGAATCAACAGATAAGGCTAGCTGAACAGTGAAATTCAGAGTGCTCCGATCCTTTTCATGCCTGTGAAAGTTCACCCTGGATCCCTTTTTTTTTTTTAACTAAAACCTGATCAGTACTGTGTCCTTCTAAAGGCACATATTAATGGTTAACAAAAATACTAAATATAATGTCTGTTATAACTAATACTAGTATTTCTGCAACCCTAATTAATCAAGAATAAAGCCTGGCATGGACAATCTCTCAAGGTTAACAGAATATTTACCAATTCCCTTGATAGTAAGGAGGCTGCTAAAATCATCTCCCAACCTTGATTTAGTTTTCTTGTAATCAATTTTGCCTAGTTTCTTATATTGCATATATAACTCATGACCCAGTAGCCCTCTCACATGGATCAATTGTCAAGTTTTTAGTCATGTCACCCACTACCTAGAAGCTCACATGCACATTCACTTCTCTAAAATTAAAGTAGGCCTTGCACAATTAAATGGATGCATATAGTTTCCATCCGGGGAAAGGAAAGTTATTCGTTATGTAGGTGCTGCTTTTTTTAGGTGTTTTACACAGCTTCTTTTGCTTTTATGAAAAAGTATTAAATTGAATATTATTTTTTTAGTATTTTCTCATGGTTTTAATATGTTTATATAAAAAAAATATCTAATTTTTTTATTTTAATATATTTTCAAACAAAAAAACTATTTTATAAAAGAATCTTACATCACATTATCAAACACCCCTAAGAGGTCCTCGTATACATTGATGCTTTGTTCTTTCGGCCTCTATTTATATCTAGCTATCTCACTGGGTTTTGGTTAATATTGCAGATGCATATGTGGGGACATGGATCTCAGTACAGAAAAGGACCTGACTCTTTAAGAGGAACCCAGCCAACAGCGATGCTAAGACTTCCATGTTATTGTTGTGCACCAGGTTGCAAGCACAATATTGATCATCCAAGAGCAAGACCGCTCAAAGATTTTAGAACTCTCCAAACACACTACAAGAGAAAGCATGGGATCAAACCCTTTATGTGTAGAAAATGTGGTAAGCCATTCGCTGTGAAAGGAGATTGGAGAACACATGAAAAGAACTGTGGGAAAATATGGTATTGCATTTGTGGGTCCGATTTTAAGCACAAGAGGTCTCTAAAAGACCACATTAAGGCCTTTGGCCATGGCCATGTTGGCATCGATTGCTTCGAAGAAGAGGATGAACTAGCATCTGAAAGTACTGAACATGATGGTGAATCCTGTATGTGATCATCAATAGGGTTTTCGGTGAATTTTACCACCTTCACGTGGACATTCTTGTTAGCTTCCATTAATTTCTCTTTGGTGCATTAATTTGTTTAGTTGCCCGATTTTTCTCGCCAGTGTACGTATTTCTTGGCATAATGTTAATTAGGTTCCATGACTATGTTAGACCAAGTTGTGTAAATCCACCCACTTACAAGGAAGAACTAAACAAGTGAAGGCTTATTATTCTTCTTTTCTCAAATGGAGATAAGAGCAAAGTTCTGATAAGTGCTTGCAAGTGCAAGCCTTGTTAATTATGAACTGCAGTTGGTTAATTAGCAGTGGAATTCAAGTAGATTATTGTGATTCTTCTTTCTTTTCTTTTAATCCATAGGAAGTGCTGCCAAGTCTTTATAATGAGTGCATGTTGCCATATTAGTAAATGCAAATTTTTTGTCGGGAACAAGCATGCAGTATGTAATTTTCATTGAACATGGTGCAAGAATTTTTTTTCCCTTTCTACAAATGAAAAGACGATCAATTCGAAGGTCTAATGTTCTTCCATTTTCTTATCTCTTTCATCTTAGGCTTGTATGATGCAAGATTTATCCCCAAATCCTTTTATTTTGCACGAAATTGTTAGATTCAATAAATCTAAATATGTTTATAAAATAATTTGCATTTAGGTATGCTATTGATGAAAAATACGTATGGATTCTTTTTTAAGGATTTAGTACTTCTAAGCTTTAATACACTCAAATTTAATTGTGTATTTTTGTAGGTAAAAATTTGTATATAAGTGTATACTTAAAAATCAAAAATATTTATTTATATAACAAGAATCCCATTAAACTCATTTTTGATATAACTATGATGCCATTAATTTCTAAAATATTAATATGTGAGTTAATTTATTGAATGAAATTAATGTTCATGGAAAAACTAAATCCCATATTAATAAGCATTAGTAAAATATAAATCTAACATTTTCCCACTTGATTCATACATTTAACCCAATGTCTTAACCTAACCCCATTCCTTAAATTTTTTAGAAAACAAATGCATGAATCATAGCAAGAAGTTCTCTAATAACAAGTATCCTAAAAATATATATTGATGTTGACTAAAGAGCTGTGAAAAAGTAAAGAAATATCTTTAAGGGACTAAATATTGCATGCTTATGTATGAAAGAACATTTGGATTTGCATGCTTATGTATGAAAGAACATTTGGATTACTATGATGTAATCCCACATTCCCATAATATATGTAATGTCAAGTCTTGCATAGACATGAACATGCATAAGGCTTTCAACAACAAAAATATATAAAATGTTTATTTTTTTCCTTTCAATGATATTTTTTAAGCATTAATTCAAATTGAATCTATCACCTTTTATAATTAGAGTTATATTTGATGAACAATCTTTCATTTAAAATCTCACTAAAATTTTATTGATATAGATTTTTTGAGATAGACCTAAAACATCTTTAAAACTATCTCAATAGATCTTACTACCAATGATATAAGATGTTTTATCCATATCTTTCATGTTAAAATTTTCAGGGAGAACTTGTTTCACCTCATGCAACAAACCCTTTATCATTTGTTGCAAGTAGAATATCATCTACATATAAAACAAGAAAACAAATTTTACTTTTATTGACTTTTTGGTATATACATTGATCTATGATGTTTTCTATGGCCCAAATAAATAAAGTACATCATGGAATTTAAATTACCATTATTGAGATGATTGTTTTAAACTATATATGAATTTCTTAAGCTTGCAGACTAAATGCTCACCATCATTAGAGGAGAATCATTCAAGTTGTTTCATGTAAACCTTCTCCTTTAGATCTCCATTGAGAAATGAAATTTTCATATTTATTTGTCGCATTTCCAAGTCAAAATATGCTACTAATATCAAAATAATATGTAGAGAATCTTTATTAAATATAAGGAAAAAACTCTATCTAATCGGTTCCTTCCTTTTGAATGAATCTCTTAACAACGAGTCATACCAAATCTTTTAATGTTGTCTAATGAGTCCATCTTTGTCTCAAAGATATATTTGCATCCAACAACTCTTGCATTATTTGACAACTCAATAACATCTCAAACACTGTTACTTTTCATAGAATTCATCTCTTTCTTTATGGTATTATACCAAAATTATGTTTCTATGCAACTTATAGCATATGAAGATGATTTAGGATTATGTTTACTCTAATGTTATAATCAGATTCTTGTAAATACACAACATAATCATTAATAATTGTTTATCTCTTCATTCTAGTAGATCTTCTCAATGTTGTACCATCATCTTCTTTAGAAGTATTTGGTTTAACTGGTTGTTCAAAAATTCTTGATAATGCTTGAACTACCTGATCTACTAGAATTTAATGGATCTCTTCGTGCATGTAGATACCAGGTTGGTGTTCAACACTTTGAAGCAACTTAATAACTTCTTTCAAGTTATTGTAGAAGGAATTTTACTAAATAATAATTTTAGCATGAAGTTATGAAATAAAGAGGTAGTTCAATGCCTTATTGAATGAGCAAGTTTAAAAGATTATTTTCTTATTAATAAAAATAAGTCCTTGTTGGGCGAGTTGAAAAAATTATTTTATGATTAATAAAAATAATGTCTTGATAAATGAGTGCACGAAGATGATGATTTACTAGTTAAGGGAAATAGTATCCTGACATATGGGCGAGTTATGAGAATTAACTACTTGAGTAATGAGATAAATACTCGGCATAATGGATAATTGTAGAATTTAATTGATTTAGATTGAAGTTAAATATTTGGGTTTGTTAGAAACACTCTTGGTATTTTCATAAATTTATTTCTATTCAGAAATCATATTAAGAATAATCGATGAAATCATTGAATTACTAAAGATAAGATATTTCATTTAATGATACAAAAATTACATTAATGCACACGAATAGTTAGTCCTTAATTATTTGTTCATCGTAATGTTCAATTTTAACCATGCTTAATATGATTATATCTTAAGGTACATTGCACCCTTGAACTGAAAAGTAGATGCATGAATAAATAAATTTGTTAAGTAATTGATGTTATTAGAAAAATCAATATTTTGTTGTAATACACTCTTGTGTTTAAGAATTGTAATATTTAACTTAATAATTTATGTATGATGTAATTTAAAATGTTGCTTTTATTAAGTTGAATTATAGTTGATTGTATATATATTTTCAACATAATTACATTTGAAAGAATTTAATGCATGCCATGAATTAATTAGCTTTAAATAATTATTCTATAGAATATGAAAATAATAATTTGATATTATGGTTGAGTTTTAAAGGCTTAGATGATGAGACGATTATTGTTATTGATGTTTGCAAGTTAAGAAATTTTGAATATATATATATATATATATATATATATATATATGTGTGTGTGTGTGTGTGTGTGTGTGTGTGTGTTATAATTCGTGATTATATTTAGGGTTGTTATAAGGTATGTTTTCTTGCAAATTAGTTGATAATTCTATTTCTTCCTCTAAAATAGATATGTTGTTCGATTATGTGTTTTTTGATTCTACAATATTTTGTTAAAGTATTGGTTTTTTTTAATATCTTACTTTTATGAGATTAGTTATTATAAATAAGGCATGTCAATTTATGTATGTTTTTAATGATACATGTTGGGTTATTATTAAATACATTTTGTGTTATTTAAAAGGTATAGTTTTTTTGTGGTTTGCATATTGCTTATAGCTCATCCTTCTCTCTTAATGGTTATATAAATATTGATGGACTGATAGTTTTGATGATAGTAAGTCTACAGGTACTTCTCTTGTGTATTTCAACACCATATTAATTTTTTGAAAATTCACCAGGCAAATAATTAATTAACAAAATTTCATCAATTAAGTATACACTAGCTAACCAACATAAAAAAAATAATCGCTAGATGGCACCTGAAAATAGAGAGAGGTAGTCAATTATGTATCATAATTGTGTAACGATATTCAATTAATTTGATAGGTCATGTATATATGGTAGTGCAAATATAAAATATTTATTTTTTATTTTTTATTTTTTCATTTTATAGGTGGGCTGTTCTCATACTACTTTTTATATAAGGAATCGAATCTAAATTTATCTCCCCGTTAAAAACAAATTATCTATATTATAATTAAATGATTTGTAAAAGTTTTCATTCGTACGTCTGGCTTGAGATTTTTTGAACTAGCTTGATAGCTAAGAAAAAAGAGAGTTGTACGACCGTAAAAAATAAAAGTTATTAATGACTAATTTTGATGGGTGCAACTCAATTAATCAAGTTTTAAATTTGTTTATTAAAAATCACCAATTCAAGTCTTATAAATCTCAGAACCACTGAAAATTTATATGATTGTTAACTTTAGAGTTCATAGGATTAGTTGAGGTGCATGTAAGCTAACTCTAACATCCATGTTAATAATAAATAAATAAAAAGTTAATGATGACTATTCTTTTAGTCATAGGCTCACCGTGAAATGCAGGGTGTTTTTGATATTGTAATAGTAGTGATAATTTAAAATATTTTTAGTTAAAATATATTAAAATATTTTTTTTTATTTTTTTATTATTAGCATATTAAAACGATATAAAAATATGATATTGTTTTTTATTTTAAATAAAAAAATTAATATTAGAAAAACCAGTTTACATCATATTTTTAAACACAATCAAATAAACATATAGGCTATAACCTTGGTTTGTATTACTAAGCTATTAAATTCTTTGGTGTACAGCGGGGAAAAAAGAGTAGAAGAGAAGTTTCAAGATTATAGCCGACGCAGAGAAAATTTTGAATGAAAAAGTTATGAATAATCAATTTTCTAGAAAATAAATTAAACATGTTTATACTATTCATAGATCTAAATTCTTATTAAAGTTACATGGTTAATAAAATCTAACTAGCGTAATAGCTCACAAACCAAATAAAAAATGTAAAATAACTAATAAAGATAAAGAAAAACACAAACAACAAATATCCTAGATCTAATTTTAGATACATTCCGACCTCGGTTGGCTCACGTCAATTATTCTTACAAGAGACAAAGCTTGTAGAATGTTTGATAAAATTTAATGTCAATTCATTGATTGGATCGAAAATTATACACGTTAATTTTATCAGAAAAAGGTTTGTTATGCTCATATTTGTTTTGGACTTGGAATTGTTAATACGCATATGATGTTACCTAATATTCATATTTCAAAGACAATTGATGAGGATGGATAATTTCCGCTAACCTCAGTTAAAGAGTATATTTTGGTTTTGTGCACAACGCCTTGATTAATTTCTATCTGCCTCTTCTCCTGTAAATGATCAAACTATAATTTGGATTGAGTTAAGAGTTGAAAAGGAGGGTGATTAAGCTCAGAAGCTGGTTCGGGATAGCTAGCTAGCTAGCTAGTAGCCTCCTATATATGAGTTGCGGGTTGGGGATAGCTAGCTAGCTAGCTAGTAGCCTCCTATATATGAGTTGATCAAGATCATAGCCTTTATATGCATGCGGGGTTATGGCTTGAAGCCTTTAATTTAAACCATTTGATGGTTTAATTCTGACTTTATGTTTTGTTTAGTAAGAAGAAATGGAAAATAAAGGAAAGTTCTGTAGGAAAACCAAAGATTGGAAATGTTGGAAAATAAACGAAGTCCCAGTTGAGACCTATATCGGTTCTTATTTTCACTTCAAACAGAGATGATCATTATACCATACTTTGTTATTTAAAAACTTGAAACTGTAGACACGTTGGAATTAACAATGTTGGAATTAACAAATGGAAGGGAAAAAACCGTCCTCTCTATGACCTAATCAGGGAAAATCCAAAAAGATGACAATGAAGCTGTAGACACGTTGAGCCATGGTGCAGCTGGAGTTCAAGAACGATATGCAGGAGTCTTGAATGGAAAGTGTTCGCGTCTTGCGACAAGCACTAGCAAAGAGGTAGTAAAAAAGAAGCAAAAAGATGATATAGATTATAGGCCCATGCTTTCAGTTCGAAATTCATGGGCCACTATTATATACTGTACTGGACAGTTTTCTATGATTCGGCTTTACTATAAAGTCTTAACAGCCCATCAATGGCCTCTTTCTCTGTCAGGTGAATCTGCAAGCATGGCGATGACCTACCCTCTCTCCCAAACCCTTGACCACACGCCACCTAATGTGTTAAAAATCAGGTCATCTTCAAAAAATGATGGAACAAAACCACATATCACTCAACTCCAAACCAAGAAGCGTTGCTTGAGGTGCAACACTCTTTATCTTGACAAAGATAATTCCCCAATTGCCTGCTCTTTCCATGGCCACACCACAGGTATGCAACTATGCATATTCCTCCTCACCAACTTGCTAAAGGAGTTCCCAGTCTTCCATTTTTATATGGGAGTCTTATGCTTGCAACGTTTTGTGCAGGGGAGAAGGGGTTATTTTCTTTGTCTCCTCCTCACCAAGGGATTGACGGAGAGTGGAGCGACCGCTCCGGAGTGATAGTGTATAAATGGAATGACAAGAATAATAGACCAAATACTGGAAGTGTCAATTGGAAGAAAAGATGGAGTTGCTGTGCTGAGTATGATGAAAATGCCTCACCTTGTAGACGAGGGTGGCATGTTTCATATGATGATGGCTTCACTTTGTATTAGCCCGAATTGGCTTGTAAGCAAAATCCAGAAGCACAACAATTGCAAATCCTGAAGGATATCAAGAATTATGTTGTGTATGTTTCTTTGTTTTTATGTACCCATATGTAAAGCATCTTGGATGAAGTGGAAATGCAAATGCAAGCATGTTTCATATGATATCTTTCTCTTCTTTTTTATTTTTGGCTAAACAGAGCAATTTGGTTTGTTTTGGCTTTTTGATGCGTTCAACAGCCACAATTGCTTGTAAGCTGTAAGGTATGATTATAATTGACAGAATATAATTTGATGGGTCAAATGCTTTGCTTTTAAGCTAGAATTCAAAGTATTCTACTATAGGATACATGTAAAATTAAGCTTTCACATGGTGGGTAACTATTCTAGCAAAGTTTGGTAAATCTTTTTGGGAAAATAACATAAGTGGGAGTTGTATCAGGGGTTGATTCAAAATTCATGTCTCTTTTAATATTTACAAAACTTAACTTAAAAGTTAATAATTAAAAAATAAGTAGCCAAGAAAAAAAAATTAAAGTGTCAAAGGAGAGAATAATAGAAAAAAGAAAAGGAAAGAATGAGTCACTGCGAATATATTAAGCTCTGTTTTAACAAATTCAATACCGTTAAAAGAAACTTAATGAAACAATTTTAATCATATATTGAAATATTACTAAATAAGGTTATAATTAACCAAAAATTTTGCTTAGTGTTAATTTAGGGTTATTTATGACTTTGTATGGTAGTTTTTCAAGGTATAATTAAAATTGTTTTATTAGGATCTTTTTAACAATATTAAATATATAAAAAAATAGAATTTCAATGACATGTCTCCAGTGACTTATTATTATTTTTTTATTTTTCTTTTGAGACTACATTACCTTATTGTCTCTTTTTTTCTTGACTATTAAATTTTAAATTTTATCTTTTAATTATTATAACCTCATAAAATTTTAGATTGATTTTTATTCAGGGCAATTAATTTATATAAAACATGAATTTTAGTTTTGACTAAATAACTCTTAATGTTTATTAATGTTATGTACAGAATATATATAGAGAGAGAGACAGAAATGTGATTGTATTCAAACTATATTATTTTCAAATACTTTTCCTACTTACCTATGTTATTCTCCTAAAATTTTTACAGCACAAAGTTTTTTTTTTTTTAAAAAAAAATCCCGGAGTCCCCATTAACCGAAGCTATAAAATTTCTTGGCAGTCTGTAAATATCTATTCTGTAATAGTGATGCCGGAAACATTGTTGGAGTGTATTTTGATTTTTTTTTTTTTGAAAAAAAGTGGCAGCAGAAGCCAGAGGTCATGCAGAAGCCAGCAGAGAATAGGGAATTCGTATAATATGCATGTCTATCCAGTATAAAAGCTCATGTTTCAGGGCAACGTGTCTCTCTCCTTCCTCCTACATGACTTAATCTTGACACTCGAAGCAGTTGATGGAGATCCATCCATAGTGAACGGCTCCACTATATATAGTTAGGGCCAACACTATGAAACAGAACACCATGGAAATGAACATTTTGATGATCACTTGAGATCTGTCAGGTTTATCTTTCATGCTTCTCGTCCACCATCTTAATTCACTTTTTCATCGCCAGAATGTTCACCTTTCATGATCTCAGTGAGCAACTCCCTGCTTTATTCATAAGATGACATAGTACAGAATACATTTCACAAACTTGATTTCTATCCCTTGCTGGTGCTGAGTTTCAAAGTGCAAAATTCCACCTACAAATTAACTTAACAAATAAAGATACATTGTAAGCTATAACAAAAGGTTTATAAAAACAAGAAGTCTTTTCTTTACATAAAATCTGAAGATCGAAGACACTCAAAACAAGTAATCAAGCTTCAGCTCGTATTAAACCAAGCCTTTCACATACGACCCTCTGATACTAGACAACAGTCTTAAATGACTCATGAAGATGCCTCAAGGTTTCTTGATCCCTATTCCTTTCAGGTGTTGGTGCGTTGACAAAATGAGCGTACAAATTATTATTAACACAAGTAACCTTGATCAAGCTATGTGTCCCACCACCATCAATCTCATCAAACATAACACAGCTGTCCATTCCCGTCTTTCTTCTCTTCACTCACCACACTATCTGCACTAGATATCTAGTCTTGCAAGTCCACATCGTACAAGGCCAGGTTGTTTAACACAGCATCTTTTGGAGCTAGCTGCCTGAAACCAGCGAGAAATCTTACGTGCTCCTTTTCAGTTCTCTTTTTTGGATTCTAGAACTCACTATCAGTTCCGTTGGTACCCTTTTCAACTTTAGAGACCTAACGTTCTTTCCATCCATCAGGGACATCATACACGTACTCAGCAGAAGCTTTCTTGTCAGATTTGCCACCGTATCAGGGCAGCACTGGATGCGGTTGCGTAGTAGATGTGAAAAGTTTGTGAAGGGTCTGCAAGGGAAGGGGTAATGGCAGTTAATATTGTGGTGGCTGTAATGGTAACATTGAGTGTTGATGGTGTTAAGTTTTGAATATCATCCATCCAACAGAAATTATAAAACAAAATTATTTAATTTTTTTTTAAATAGATGTTGAATTGTTTAGAGATTTATTACTTGAAATTATATTTTTTTATTTTAAATAATTTTTTAAAAGCTAAGTTATCACAAACTACAAGTTATTTAATTATCTGATTTCTAATAAAAATCCACACGAATCACTCGTGTTTTTGTAGTTTGTCCATCTGATAGATAACCATTCTTTTTTTTTAAAAAAAAAATAAGAGGCGTAACTTATTATTTATTGGAAAATATAAAAAACAATATAAATTACAAAAATATAAATTTTGTCTCTGAATAATATTCATATATTTATTCAAGATAATTTTATAAATTAACTCAATCAAGACCCTATTTAATTTTTTTAAATTTAAAAATATAATCTCTATATTAATCATATTCTAATCCTTAATTTCTAAAATATTTTTAATCAAATCATATTTAATTAAATTATCTCAGTTTAATTTATGATTTATGATTATTGGTTTTTAATGTGTGACCCATTAGGTTCCTAATATATTGGCGCAAATATAAATTATAATTTTAATTAAATATAAATAAATAATTTAATTTATTATTAATTCAACAATTAATTAATTTATATTTGAAGATCAGATGCATTATCTATTAACATGTCATGATCCTGAAATATTAGAAAAAATATTAGTAGTTTAACTTAACTTTTTGGTAATCGGTTTCTCAATATAATTAATATCCTTTCATTAATAATATTTCAATTCAATATTAAATCATGAATTATGTTTGTTATGTTAAATCATACTTGTTCTCTACATAATAGTAAATAATTGTTTGAATAAGATTTGAAACCCTTTTCAAATTTTATTCTACCTTGATCAAGAAATTTTCAATCAATATTATTTGAGAACAGATAAAATATTTTTTCTAATTCATCTAGGGTAATGAATCCTCTATTGATCACTCAAATATCTTCATATAGTTTATGTTATAATTAACATCTTCATTTCATTATCTTGATTAAGATAATATATAATAGGATCAAATTATAAATTTGGTAATTTTAAATCTAAGAATAATTTACATAGCTGTCACATAAACCTCTCCATAAATACAAGCGATCTTTCTGCATGGAGTTTTCATGTAAGTCAATTTAGTATATATTTTTTTTATAGCAAATACCTACATATTAATTTTAGGTATCTCTTAGACCTTAGTTTATAAAAATAATTACTTATTTTCATTAAAAAAATAATATAATATGTACTAGTTTCTATGTATCTAATGAATATCTAATATTTAAAAGAGCATTGACTAATAAATTTTAAGAACAACGCTTTTAAGTAATAAAAGCTCATAATTATAATAACTTTATAATTTTTTTTGTAAAATATTTTTTTTTATAGATTCATAAATCAAATATTAGATTTATTAATATAATATTATATAACTATTAAAGATAAAATAAAATTTTATCAATAATAAATATATATTTATATAAATATAATAATATTATATATAATCAATTAATTAACTATAAAATATATTAAACTAATAGATAAGCGTAGCTTGTATGGTGGGAGAAATGGGCAAGTGGGTTTTGAAGAATGATGGGGTTTGTGGTGGCTTTTGGGTGGAGGAGGAGATGTGGGCAGATAGAGAGAGAATGGTCGACATGGGATCGGTTAATGGTGGATATGGTGCTTTCTTGTGTTCTATCTTCTATTCAACATTTTCTTATCCATTCAAGCAATGAGGAGAGAGAAGGTTAGCAAAGTATTGTTGCCAATGTTGTTGGACCAATAAACACCTGCCATGTCATGTTCTGCACTCGTGTGTTTTGCTTAGATTTTTTGGATGGTACTGATTGGGAAATGCATTGTTCAATTTCGCAAATTTTGTTGAGAATCAGTTTTGCAAAACTGATTCAATAACACTTTACAGTTATTTTATTTATTTATTTTCACAGCTGGAATATTCTGAAGCTGGTATTGGTTAAACCTACTTCTCCGGTTCAGTGGACTGCATACACCGGAATTAAAACTCCTGAGGATATTTGTTAAAAAGTAGCAAAATTAAAATTGATTAAAAAAAAAAAAAAACAATAGAAACGTGGAGATGCGGGGGATCGAACCCCGTGCCTCTCGCATGCAAAGCGAGCGCTCTACCATTTGAGCTACATCCCCAGAGTCAAACGGGTTCCTTAAAATTATTTTAAAATATAATAATATTGCCTTTTGTTCTTTTAACTTCAATTTAGCTACATCCAGGAATATAGTGGTGGAGTCTCTTTAAAAAATGGTTCGGGAATGTTTCGTTCGTAAAGATTCAAGCACATACGATCAATTCTAGTTCATGCTCTAGCATCCATGGCTGCAAATAAAATTCAAGTCAGTGTATGGTTATGGAGCCACAATCTTGCCTCTAGCTGCATATAACACGTTCGAGTTCATGTTATTCACACGTAGTTTTATCATTATTATTGGTCTTAATTAAAGAGAGAGTTAAGAAAATATTAGGAGGTGAGTTTTCTTTGTCGAATTATTGAATATAAAAGCATTGTTTGATCACCCAAAAAAGAGAAGAGAAGACAATGCCAAGCCACTAAACTAAAGGTAGGAGCCGAGGGAGAGAGGGATCAAACAAAAT